CCCCCCCCCAACCACCATTTCCCATCCATTCCTGAAGCCTCCCAAAGTCACTTTATGTTCATACACAGCTCAGCTTGCTACATTAGATATGTTTGCTCTGCTCGTTTGCAGATGCTCCTGCAGGCAGGAGGTGCTGAGCAGCACAGGCTACTTGCACATGGTTCGTAGGCCGGTCGAAAATGGTTCACTTGGTGATCTTGATCCTTTCATGTCCCACTGTTCTCAGAATTTCAAATGCCAAGGAAGCAATGGTAACATCGGTATGAGAGCTAGAAATTAAAAACAGTAACACCTATTACACATTCTCAGGAAAAAACTTTCTGTTCAAAGCCCATATTTGTCTTCATCTGTGCTGGAAAATTCTTAATAGCCATTAACTGCACTGTAAGCCCTGCTTTCCCATTAAGCAGCAACATGCAACTAGTGTAGCAAATCTTGTGTAAAAGTGAATTTCAGCTCAAATTCACGGTAACTGCTACCTCACTCAATCTCCTCTGCAAAGGGATACATGCACCCCAAGAATCTGCACACAGACATCTCTAGCTTGGCAGGAAAATGTGTTTCCTTTTAAAACAACACAGCTCCACACAGGGAGGCAGTTCCACTCACAGTGTTGCCCACTTCCTACAAGGAGGACCCACTGCCCCACCACACACAGCTCTGAAGGTTTGAGGCTGCATGGTTCGATCTTCCAACTTTGCTTAACTAGTATGATTTTTTTATTATATGTACTTTGCCTGTTTTTTCCTTCTGGAAACAAGTTTTTTTTTTAGCATGTGAACAAAGGCTCTAATGCATTAGTGATGATCCAAAGAAACAAGTGGGTTTTTTTAAACACTACCATCCCTCATCTTTAGTTTACAAAGGACACTGGTAGATCAATCTACAACTTTCTCAGCAGCTGCTAATGACAAATACACTGCAACACTCCATGTCTTGGGGAACACAGAGCTAGCCAGGAAATCCAAACGATCAGTCCCCACTGTGTAAGGCAATGTCTTAATGAGCAGCAGTCTAAACCAGAAAATTTAGTTATCTGAAACAAATTAATCTTGGCAACTGTCTTCACTGAGAAGTAAGTGGCTACGATCCCACATTTTGAAGTGTAGGTTTGATTTCACATAGCTACTCAGCAGAATGTGTTGGTTACATGTCACTCTTGAGCCTGCCTGTTCTGACTAGCTGAAGATGTCTGGCAGAGAAGGAGTTTGGCAATCCATGGCTGCTACGCAGCAGCAGGAGAGCACCCAGTGGCTGGTATCCCCCTCACATGGCTTAGGCAGAGCGAAGATTAGAAACCTGTCTGCAAAAAAAACGAGTAAAGCAAAACCAGTCCTCAATCACTTCAACCCAGTGATGTTATGTGGGTGGAAGGGCCTGGCAGTTTAGACTACTCAGAGGATGGCTTAGATCCAAGATCTCACTTGTAGCCTTCTCTAAAATGTTTCCAGTTCTGCATGAGACACAGAGAGGATTCTTAACAGGGTTCAAAGCACAGGTGAGGAAACCAAGTTCATTAGGTGACAAGAAATATTCTGGGAATTAGGCCAAATAAGGGAACATGGGGAGACAGCAGAAGATCCATAACCTCGTAAACAAAAAGGCCATTCAACTAAAGTTGATAAAGCTTCCTAACCCCAGGCTTCTCCTGTCTGCCTATTGCCAATTTATCCATTACAGCCCCAAGATCCAGGCCGAATCTCTCCTAGATTCCTCTGGAGGCAAATGAATAGGGACATGTGTTCCCCAAAGAAGGGGAGGAGGGAAAGGAAACTTGGGAGCTCTGGGAGCTCCTCTGTTGCTGCTGCAGTGCTCAGGCTCAGCACAGCAAAGGAACTTGGCTTTCCCCAACATATCAAAACACTTGTCATTGGCATCAGCTAGAATTTGGTCTACTGAGCATCTTGTGTCAAATAAGAGAGAGTGCTGTTTATTTTGGGCTCTGTAGTATGTGGTTTTCTGAGTACAGAAACATATAGATAACAGACAATTAGAGGAAGCCAGAAAAGCAGACTCAAAGACAGTGACTGGGCTGTCTAGCACATCTTAGTCTGAAATGCTACAAGACAGTGAAAACCTAGTTCTAAAAGAAGAAATCCCCATCTTTCCCCACTGTCATTGTCAGTGGTGGTGCCAGTGTCTCCCTTGGGGAAGAGCTGACATTTTATTTTAGTTAGATAATTTTATGTGTCATATGAAAACCCATGAGTCAGCAGCTGAGTATGCAAGAGAGATGCAGACTGTTCTCAACAGGTTCGGCGAGTCCTTAGTGTGCATCTCCTTTCCCTCACCAGGCCCTGACATTTCCTCTCCACATCTGCCCACATCCCTCCTTTCTTCCAATACAGGCTACACCCTGCCATAATATTTAGGAGTCAATTTTCCCAAACAACTGACCCACATAAAGCCTGCAACAGGGACCACAATTACCACTGAAAATATTATCTTAGTGTTTCAAAAACTGATCTATAAACAACAATTTCTCTGTGGATTTTAGTTCCACCAGGAGTAAAATGCAGCCTAACAGCCCATGGCAGAAGTGTAATATTTGTTTTAAGGGGCAGAGAACAGTAATTCATTCATATGTCCAAGGGGGACTAGATGAGGGAAATCCTACAGGAGACGAGCTGAGGTTTGGCAGCTTGTTGGGACTAGCACCTCCGTTCTTGCAGAGGAGGCCACCGCCTTCCTCAAAGTCTAGTGCCTTCCTGGAGAAGACACAGGTATTCTTAAACAAAAGCAGTTCTGTTCTTCAGCTGTGCATTTGAAAGTCATCAGCATGCAAGCACACCAAACACGACTACTTTAAAACAGGGCACAAACATCACGCTAAGCCCATCCCGCCAAGAACCACTGACCAATATACCACTACAGAGACCAAGTGTTCAGAATAAAAGAAGACATTTCCACATGTGCACAGGCACTGAGCAGGACTGTGCCTTGCTGCAGCTGCGGATCAAAGCTCCCTGCCGCAGTGGCAAAAACGCCAGCAAGCTCTGAATGAGAGGAGGTCGAAGGAAAGCAGTGTAGGGAGGGGGGCCAGGAAGAGAAACCTGAGAAGCTTGAACTACACAGAAAGCTATTACAGGAGAAGACCATCCCAGACAAAAGGGGAGGGGAGAGCTCTCAGCCCTGGAAATTCCTGGAAGCCTGAGGGAACTCACCTGGCAGTTTGGGCCAGGCTCTCTAGAGTTTGGATAAGAGCATCGCCACCATTCTTCAGGCTCCCTGAGCACTTCTCGTTTGAAGTTATCTGGAATAAAAAGAAAGAGTCGTTATCAAAGGCTTAGCAAGAAATTCCTCTCTGTCGTTTTGTGTGGGATAGGGGAGACGGAAACAAGTTATAGCATTTATTACAGTTGTAAATGGAATGTGACATTAAAGAGACCCAAGAGAAAGTCTTTCTTACGGAACAGGACTGAATTTTAGGCACAGACCATCAAAATGCCTTGGCTTAATTAATGAGATTCACTCTTGGTCTAAGTCCCTGTATTTGTGCAAAATCACACATCACAGTCTGCCAATCCTGATTTCAATGCAAATACAAGCCCCATTTAGTCTGAATTCCAGGGAGATCTTGAGGAGGCAGTAATTTTCATTTCTCACTTCAGGAAAAAATAACCAGGCTTGTATCAGCCTTCAGATCAGGACACGTGAGGTTTCTCTGAGAGAACCCAGGTTAAAATGACTGCAATGTTAGCAGTTGCATATTGACATTTTTCCTGCCATTCTTCAGTCATTAGGAATATTTCCTGCACAGGACTGTCACCTACAGAGCAGGGAACTGAGTGACCAAAGCTCTGTGTCCTTTTGTGTCAAGTGAATCCTGATTATAGTTGATTTTTCTGCTGGTGTGTTTTATCACACTAATCTATAATGACTGGTTTATTGTTTCTCCTGCCTTGAGTAGTACAACCGCAAAGCTCTCAGCGGTCACACAATCCCTGACCAGCTAAGCAGGTGAATGGGAAGGTCATGAGGGAAATGACATGAAGTTGCACAGCACTGTGGTACAAACATTTGGCAGCTTGCTGAAGAAGCTCTCTTACCTCAAAAAATTACCAAAAAAAAAAAAGGGGGGGGTTGTATGTCTGTTCCTGATTGCAAAGGTACATAAATCTTGGCTGAAGAGAAAGGAAAAGAGGAGGACCAGAGCAACTGATTATTTCAATACTGGAGGAGTTAATGCTTGAAAGGATGACTTCTAATCCCAAAATCTGGCAAGGACTTTTAAGGTTTAGCATGCTGTGGCTGGCCCTACTTACCATTGATCAAGCATCTGGGTGATAAGCCTTCACATCTCCCTCTTAAATCACAGGAGAAGCTGTATTTACAGCTGCCATCCCACCATAATTTATCAGCAGCAATTCTGTAACAACCGTGTCACTACATTTATAATCATAACACCCTGTAGTTAAGCAGAACAGGGAACTAGGGATCTGTCTGAAGTAAACTAAAATGTATCCTGTGCGTTGGGAAAAAACAGTGATGCCGTTACCTAAGTACAAATCATTGGTAAATCCTAATTACAGGTCATTAAGCCTTTGTACTCTCGAGGCTTATATCTGACCCTTTCAGTTTATAGTTCAGTAATCCATTCTTGTATACCCATCACCCACTAGACACAGAACATGTTTTGCAATCCAGGTTCTGATTGTGAGAACACCACCACACATAAGAGTAGCAATACAGTGAGAAAAATGTTTTCACCGCAAGACGTTGCTTTCAATTCCTAAAGAGGGCTCAGGCCTCTACCAAATGCTTCCCATGACTTTTGCAGCTCATCAGCTGCTCCCACATTCTTTGCAGTTGCCAAATTTATGCCCCTTGTTTATCCAGCCCACTTGAAAGAAGAAGAGGTCGCGGAGGGTGGAAGGTCACTGCAGACTGGATCACGCTCTGTAAAACTACGAGGTCAATTAAAGTTTACAGATATCCCTACTTCTAATACATCCTAACAGTTGGTTGCTGACATCTGTACAACCCTCACTGTCTTTTGACAAATAAACCCTTGTGCATTGCACACAGACAGAACGTTCAAAATACACACAAGGATAAAAACTGGTACAAAAAATAAAGAAGGTTTTAATTCTAAAATGCTGTATTTCAAACAGTAACTTAGTCCACCTGAGTCATGGGATCTGACTGTAAGCTTGTCCATGTTGCAGCATGCCTGTGTCATGAATAGACATGAACATTCACAGAATACATTTCTGTGGCTACAATGCATTTGAATGGAAAGGATTAAATAGGCTTTATATACACAGAAATCACAACGGATGGAACAGAAAGACCCACGAAATAATCTGCCTCATCACCCTCTTATACTTCACTGTTGAGAGCAGCTTTCATCCACATGCAGTGGGCTGCTGTGATACCCATTCATAGGGGTTCCTCCCCTCTCTAATAAAATGTTTCAATAAGATCCTTTCAACAGTAAAGGTGGAACCACAAGGAGAGGAAGGATCAGACCTTTAACAACATGATCAGCCTGAACATGTTTCAAAGTGGGTTTAAAAAAAAAAAAAAAGACATTTTCTGAAGATCATCAACAGCTTCCCAGAAGCCAAGCAGTACTGGTGAAGAACAGACCTGTCCAGCCAGCTGTGCCACCCGCACACACAAACAGGAAACCTGCACAGACAAAACGTGGCTGTACAGATTTCTGCAGTCAGCTGGGTTTCCACACCTGCTCTCAATCACTAGTGTCCAGAAAACTGCTTTCTATCTACCACCGGGACAACCACACCTAGGGCCTGGGAGAGGACCAAGGCTGCAGCAGCAGGAAAGCTGCAGGTTGACCACAGGGTGAGCTGCCAGTGCCCCATAACTGGCTGGACCACAGCTGCCTGTGTTTATTTTGTCAGTATTCCCATGCTGTTACTGCTCTGACCTGCCAGCATTTATTTGCCCCTGATACCAGGCTGTGTAGTAGATCTGCTTTTTCCCTGAGTGATCGGAAGGCCTCTCACATACAGCAGATTAGATCCTGCTTCACATAAAGCTTCTGGGAAATACTGTCCTCTTTCAAGACCCAAGATAAAACTTTACCCACATTTCTTATTAAAACATTATTCCAGTTTTATCTTCATTTTGTTTCATAGATAAAAACAAATTACGGCAGCACATAAAATTGCCAGTAAACAAACTTCTAGAAATTAATGTATTTTTCACTCATTCCATTATCTTTTTCTTCTACCCAACATTGCTGTATCTTCTATCTACACTGGTTCTAGTTCACTTTAAATTTTAACAACTAGTTTAATTACCTCTTGTAATTTTGCTGTTTGTTAGGGCTGGCTACAAGACATCCAATGACATAATCAATAGTTCTTATTTTAATTAAAAATGCAATTAAATCTCAGTTTAGCTCTACACTCACCACAATAACAAGAATTTCAAAATTATTTGTCTTTATTAAGCTAATAGCCATTCAGCAGCTTTCCTCTCTTCAGTTCTATTAAACCAGGATGAGCCATAAGGAATATCTTAATCAGTATTTCCTAAAATTTAGGAGAGCTGTTCAAGTATTATGCTGCTGCTAAAGGTGAGTGCAGGAAAAAATATAAAACATTCACTGGGAGATCATCTTCACTAATAAACTGAGGAGTCTTGGATTCTTGGTCTGAGTAAAAAATATTCCTGCAATTCAAGTTTCAAGAAAGCATGGAAACCAAAGGGGCAATTACTTTTCCTGAGGCTGGTTTCATACTACTGAATTGTGTTCTCTGATTAGTCATAATTCACATTTTGTAATATAGAACTGAGTTAAATGACCCAAGCAGTAAACTACTTTCTCACCATTTTGAAGAGAAAGAAATTCTCCTGCTTTGTTGAGGTTTCAAGAAAACCATAAGCTTCATGTCCTGTGACATAAACTGAGGAATGATGCAAAATATTTTTTGGGTAAAAATAAGAAGCATTTTATTTGAACCTGTTGTTGGTTGAAGAAAGGCCTTAGGAGCACGTTTAGCTGCACCATTAAGTGTTACCTTCTCAAATAAACCACTGCTGGAGATTACCATTTCCATGCTCAGTGGATGAGTTTCTACAAGCCACCACCTGTATACATAGACACAAGCAAGGCATTCCATAAACGCTCTTTTTCACAGACTGGCTTTTTCTCTTTCCCAAACACGTTCACTATTTTAACCTTATCAAGTGATGCTTCCTTACTTTCTCCTGAGAAATTAATACATCTAAGTTAATTGCCTTTGCAGGATTAGGTAGCTCCAGTTCGGGCTCAACTTTACCAACACTAGCTGAGAGCACCTCCACAGGTAACACAGGAACTGCTGTGGGCTGGTTTATCAGAACCACCAGATATTCTGGTATCACTTGAATATCAACACATGCTGTAAATAAAGTACCACCTATGCCCAGCTGGAGGCTTTTCAGTGAGTGGAAATTTTGTCTTCAGGTAATACTGCAGTAAAACCAATCACCAATGAAGTTTTTTCAGTGCTCTAACTGGGACCCTATGTAGGACACGAATTTTAAAAATTAAGTTTTTGCAATTAAAAAAAAAAGAAAGAACTAAGCACACTCCTATTGCCCTCAAGACACTATTTCAAATAATGTCTTCATAGGAAGTGCTGTCTCTGCAATTTTAACTGTGCATTTCAAACTTCTCCTTCCTGCTTCCACCTTCAACTGGCTGAAGGCACTGCCAGTGGGACACAGAACCTTTTAATAGGCACCCAAACCTGCTGTTTCAAATGTCATCTGGGCTGGTGGTAATTGAAAGTTGATAGCTGTTTATAGCTACTTAGTGTGACCTTATTCCCATTTTTTAAGGAACAAATGTCACAAAATATAGTGGTGTCAAAACCACTGCTATAGCTGATGTGACAGCCCAGCAAATAAGTCAATGGGATGGCAACTTCAGAAAAGAGGCACAGTGCCTTGGCTGGAGGAGAAAACCTTCCCCTGTTGTGGCCTTTCCTATGCCTATCCCATGGCATTGAATGGTACTTTTCCTCCCAGCCTGTCAGCACTGAGCTATTCACGAGCATTGCAACAATTACATGAAATACGTCACTTGGTTTGGTGTTCGAAATCATGACAACATGGCCAGAAATATGCAGCCATTCCTTCCTCGTGGAGGGACACACTAACCAACAGTATCCAGCAAAAAGGGATTTGTTGGGGTGAGCATCTATGAAATAAAACTAACAATCCATTGATTGTGTTCAAGCTTCATAATTATAAACATGAACGGCCAGAACAAATAAAGTATTTGAAGCCTGTCAA